TCTCATCTCACCAATGCCTAGTATGTCAATATTTATGCGTTCCATTTCTTCCTTAACAATATCTAATTTTCCTACATTCATGGTTCTCACATTCCATGTAGATCATATTATATGACTAGAAGGAAACAAAAAAAAGTGGCTGCTTATCTAATCTTGGCTGAGAATGAGGATAAAAGTTATTTTGTGTATAAAAGGAAAACAAAAAATCATGAAGGAAAATATTTATAAACATATACATGTTAAAAAGAAAAACTCTGACTATATCTTGAGTTAGTAGCAAAATTGCCTTAGGACTAGGCCACCAGAGCTCTCTAGCTTCTTGCTAGAGAGTACTTCTCAAATTGTAGTGAAAGAAACAGATTAGGGTTTACAGTTGTGCTGCCAACCATAGGCACAGGATTCAGATCTTCTGAGGGACTCACGGATTCTGAAAATATGCTGGTTCGGACTTGATTGCACACAACAACAATCTATCATTTGCAAGATGAGTATATTGAGCATAGTTTTGTTTATTGTGGCAAAGTCAAATTGCTAGACATGTTTTTAAGTGTTTTCTTTCAATTTTTTCTCTTTGTTAAAGAACTCAAAATAATAAGAGTTTGCATACTAGCACTGGCTCTTCGGTGGTCACAATCTGAGTGAAATAGCTCTGTGTGACCAGGTCAATTCTTCCTCTAACACCTTTTTTCCCTGACTTTAGGTTCATTTCCTCTCTCAGGTTCCTAAAATACTTCCAGTGTCACAGCTGATGTTCAATAAAATCTGTCAAATAAACTATATTTGCTTATAACTGAATAATGATTGAATAACCTTTATGTGCTTACTGAATAACCTACATGTGCTTACCTTTAAGCCTGGAAACCCTTCTAGTCCTGGTAACCCCATTGGACCAGGTTCTCCCTGTAAAATATAGACATGGGGATTGCATGAGCAGTGATGAAAAGATTATTTTTTTTGCTCTTGGTGTATTTACAAAATTTGAAGAAAAGATTTACAAGCACTGGTTTCAAAAGCAAACTCCTCTCCATCCCCAGTAACACTCAAATAATAATTTGCAACATAATAAGTAAATAGTGTATTCTCAGTTTTTTGAACACTGTATTTGCTCATCTGTATTCTTTTTAAGTAGAGGAACAGCAAAATAGAGGAAGACATTCAATCAGATAACTGATACAGAGGCCACAACAATGTGTCAGCTCCGGTAGGAATAGTGGGATAGTAAAGCACTTCACTCTGCTATACATTAGGGTTACTGTGAATTAGAACCTACTTAGCGTCTAACAGCAACAACACTAATTCAGAATCTGATCAGAATGAGTCACTTACATCCCTTACAGCTTAAATTTTAGCAAGAATGAGAATGAAAGGCTGGGTTATAAAAATGTTTGAGATTTTATGAAGTATCTGGGCTGTTAGACTACCAGAGAACGAGACTAAATTTCTTTTTTTAATTCATTGATTGTTGCACTTTTTCTTATTTCCCCCTTCCTCTCCTGTCCCCCAGTCGATTTTGCAATGCACCTCTTGTTCCAGATTGTTGTCGAGATTAAATTTTTTTTTAAAGTGCATGAATATGGGTAGCTTTCAAAATAGTTTCTCATCCTTAATTAGTCTCTGCAGTTGCACATGAATTGTGGAACACCTGAGAGGATAGACCAAGAATGATGCAAGGATTCTGAAAGTCAAAGTCAAGTTAATGGGTCATTGAGAAACTAGGTTCTTTCTTTTGAAAAATCTTTATGCAAAAAAGAGAACCTTTTATGCATTCTAACATGATCTCAGGCCAACTGGAGTCTGTTGACTCTTAGGGAATTAATTTAGAAAGGTTATGGTAGAGGAAGCTGCAACTTGGAACAAATAAACATAGGGCTTTTAAAGCAACGAGAGAAAGTGAGTACTTTCTTGTTCATGAATTAGTTAATCCAATTATTTTCTTAGGATATAGAATGCTTTAAACATGATCATGTAGAAAAAGGAGTTTCTAAATGTCATTCTCAGTTAATGTATTTTTTGTGCACTTAATTTCAATCTACTTTAAAAGTATTGCTCAGCGTCTAACTTCCATTATTATTTATGATATTGTCATTACTACAGAATGGTAAATGAGAAAGCATATGACTGATATATTTTATGCTTTAAGAATATTTTAAAATGCGCTTAATATGTAGCCTGTCAATCATGGAAATTCCATTATGCATAAAGCTCTATAAAGGAGGCTCTGAGTTACTGACAAAGGAAATAAGCTCTTTGACTCCATTTATTTATAATCTCAGTAGTCCCAACGACAGAGAAGATACTCAATTAGTGTGTTTTCCCCTAAAATTAATTTTTTAATAGTGATTTGAGCGACAGTTTGTAGAGCAAATTAGTTTCCCAGTCAATTATAACCATTGTTCTATGAAACTGACTACATTCCTCACACTGTAGCCTATCCTACCACCACGTCTCCATGTTTCCTGTTTCCAGTCTTTGTTCCTAATCCTTCCCGCCTCCTGAAATGTTACCCTGGGCAGATGCTGCCCTTTTGATTTTCTATGGTTGATTATTCTAAGGTGTGTGTCCTGTCCTGGTTTTGTTGATCACATAAAGGCCTGCCTCTGGTTTGGCTGGAAGTTGAGTCCTGGGGGTGACTTTAATTACAGGCTTGCAGTGTGACTAAGGGTCATAGTGTCTTGGGTTCCAGCAGGCCCTGCCAGACCATTAAGCCTGGACTTTTTGTGACTTTTCAATTTTGCTCTAAATTTGTCTCCTACTCTATCAGAGATCTTCTATTGTGAAATGATAGCTGGATATCAGGGTTGTGAAGACTGATTTTGAACCCATCCGGTAGCTTTCCGGACTAAGAGTCTTTGATTTTCTTCACTCTTTTCTCTTCATGGGGAGAGACCAATAGTTGCTTTTTAGATGGTGTTTGCAAACAGTTAAGACCTCAGCCAATACTCATCAAACTGGGATGTAAAACACATTGTTGAATGAAAATCCAAAATCTCTGTAAGTGTTCATTAAAATTAATAAAATAAAATTCAAAAACCCACATTGTTGACTGTTATAGTAATTACATTTTTAATTTATAGTCATTTATAAATTGAATACAAACTAGAGAATCTTAGAAGAGAATACCATTTAATTAAGTGTACTTTTCCTCTATAAAGGTGTGCTGAAAAGATTAGAAAATAGTAGTAAGGACATAGCAATCACTATGGAATTGAAGGACAGTAAGAGAATAAACCTCCTGCAATCTATTTCAAAACAATTTCAGTTTTGTATTCTGTGATTTATGATTGATTCATCTCTATAGGAAAACATTATTTCTTCATATTGAGTGGCTTTTGGGAAATGAAGAGACTTGCATGGTGGTACTGTGACAGAATTAAAAATATATTTTCTAGAACTTTAAAAAAATTATCTAGAATAAACCTGAAGGTTTTTACAGTAATGACTAGAACAGTACATTGATGGGGAACTTCTAGAAATACAAGCTGAGTTTAGAAGAGACCATGACACTAGGGATATCATTGCCAATGTTGGATGGATCTTGGCTGAAAGTAGAGTACCAGAAGGTTGTCTATTTGTGTTATATTGACTATGCAAAGTCATTTGACTATATAGATCACAACAAATTGTGGCTAATATTGAATAAAATAGGAATTCCAGGGTATTTGATTGTGCTCACGCAGAAAACTATATCTAGGCGAGCTCTGGTGGCCTAGTGGCAAGAAGCTGCACTGTAATCCCAGAGGTGCACAGTTAGAATCTACCAGATGCTCTGCTCGAGAAGGAGGGACGATCTCCTCCTATACCAGTCAGTTAGATCTGATTTGACAGTACACATGGAAAAAAAAACCCCAAGAAAACCCCCCAAAAACTGTATCTAGACCATGAAGCTGGTATATGAACAGAGCAAGGGAACACAGCATACTTCAAAATCAAGAAAGGAGTGGGTTAGGGATCTATCCTTTCTTCATACTTTTTCAGCCTATATGCAGTACAGATCTTGCAGGAGGATGGACTTTATAAAGAAGAATGTGCATCAACCTTCCTTGCCAAAACTGAAGAGAATTTGAAGCTTTTGCTGCAGAAGGCCAAGGATTGCAGTCTTCAATATGTATTGCATCACAACATCAAGAAAACAAAGATCCTTACCATCAGGACAATTAGCAGCAACATGATAGATGAAGAAAATTATTAATAATTTCATCCTTCTCAGATCCACAATTCATCTTGCTTAGCACTCGTAGTCAGGAAATCAAAAGACAAGTTGTTTTAGTAAAGTCTACCATCACAGACCTCTCCAGAGTGCTAAAAAGCAACAAAGTCAGTCTAGAGACTAAGGTGTGCTTGATCCAGGGCATGGCTTGATCAATTGCTTGCTATGCATCTGAGAGCTGGACAATGAATAAGGATGACACAAGAAGAATCGGCACTTTTGAGTTGTGGTTCTGGAGAAGAGTAATGGACTGCCAAGAGAGCAAACAAGTCTGTCCTGGAGAGGGTGAACCAGTCTGTTCCTTGGAAGCAAGGATTTTTTAAAAAAAATTTATTATTTTTTGTGCATGTACCGTCAAATCAGATCTTACTGGTACAGGAGGAAATTGTCCCTCCTTCTCTGGCAGAGCATCTGGTGCATTCGAACTGTGTACCTTTGGGATTGCAGTATAGCTTCTTGCCACTAGGCCACCAGAGCTCCTCTGGAAGCAAGGATTTTTAATTCCATCTCTAATACAGTGGGCATGTTGCCAGAAGGGACTAGACCTTGAAGAAAGACATCATGCTTGGAAAAGTAGAGGGTCAGTGAAAGAGAAGACGATCCTGGATAAAATGGATTGACAAAATGTTTGTAGCAATGGTGGCAGGTGTGCCAGAGATCGTGAGATTGGCTCAGGATAGGGCAGAGTTCTGAGCTATCGTTCATAGGGTCATTAAGAGTTGTAGTCAATTGGACAGCACATAACAACAACAATAATAACAATTTAGTTTTAAGATTCTGTATTTCTGCTTTTATGCTTCATCAGTTCTATTTACATCTCCAAGAGCAAGATACATCCTGGATTTAGTTTTGAATCTTTATCCTTTATTATAGCTGAGAAATTTGAAGGTTAGTCTCTTCAAATTCTATAGAAGTAAATGGACATTTTTGTTGCTGCCCTCTTTCCAATACAAGTAGATTAAAATTCATTTTTTCTTTATTATAAACTTTTAAACACTTTTCCACTTTATCCTGCTGCAGTTTGTGCAAGAATTGAAAGAATGTTCCAGAAAAGTCAAAGAGAAGTCTAGGTGTGCTTAAATGATTCAGAGGGTCTGTTTTGTATGTATGAGATAAAAGTATAAGATGGAAATTTTTGTAGTTGACAGGATGAAAGAAAACAGAAATTATAATGAAGGATATATAGTTGTGGAAAGCATGGGAAAAACGTAGAGATAAAGGAGACTTTTAAATTGCATATTCAGGGTTTGGAATCTGGTATTAACTAGTTGAAAGAAGGCTTTCAGGAGAATACAAATTGGGTTTAATAATGTACATTGCCAGTAACAAAAATAAAACATGTAGAAAGTGCTTTTCAAGTCTTATTTCTTTACTGTTTTCAAATGTATTCATGTTGTTTTACCAAACTATACCGTAATAAAAGGGCTTTTAATTTGTTTTCACATGGCAATGGAAAATGAGTTGAAAATTGTTTTCAGTTTTGGGTACCTTAAGTGTATACCCAAAGGTCGAAAGGATATACAAATAGAAGATGAAGGATAGAACATATGCTTGAAAAAGACATGACAGGAAAAATGCCAAGCAATAAAGGGAATCTAATTGGATTTGGCAGAACTTTTACAGTGAAGCTCCATGGTTGAGAAGGATGCTGAGAACAATTATCATCCTTTGGGCTGTTGGAGGACAAGATCCACTTACATGCTGAGTGTTAACCTCTTGATACATTACTCCTAATAAGCAGGGTTATGACAGCGCGCTATGTCTTCTACAGAATAATTGCCCAAGACATCCAAAGCTAATAAACAGTCTCCTTCCTTCTTCATTATTGGGAAGAGGGCAGACATATTAAGGAATTTCCTTCCAGTAAGCATTTTTCTTTCACAATCTAGTTAAAACTGAATCCATCATAGAAAGAGTGCTGTTAGAAGAAAGAGCCTCATTTATTATGAGCTTTACATGTGTCTTTCTCCATCAGAAGATGATATCTAAAGCACACTGGTGGAAAGAGATGTCTCTCGAGGACAGTGACATCAGGTGTGGCAAAGAACAGACTGATACAGCTTAGAAATGATGACCACAGGACTGGCCTCTGTGTGGCGTTCACCCCTGCTGACTTTGCTGTATTAATTCATGAATGCGCAGGAAGGTAGGGTGACCATCTCCACCTGATGTTCCTTTTAAACCTGTAACAAAGACTTTTCTCCTAATTGACAGCAAGCATGAGAACATACATACCACTGGGCCAGAGTCACCTTTGGGGCCCTGTAACAAAACATACAAAATCTTCTAAAAAAAGATGTCTGAAGTAAAATTACAAAACATCAAAACATTTTGTTCTATTTGCTTTATAATACATTAAAATGTTTATGAATTCTGCTTTTACTACCAGTTACTGAAGAAAAGATGAATAAACAATATTTGATGGGCTCCCCATGAAAATGACTGCATGGACATCAAGTAATTTCTTACACTTACAATTGGAATAATGGCATCACTATGCGAAATGCTATATGCAAAATGCTATTTATCATTATTTTTGCTGTCTACACTTCTCTTGCTATAAAAGTTTAGATTTTACTTGGCATATTTTTTTTTAGTAAACTTAGGAGGTTTGTTCTTTTTTAAAAATTAAGGTTGTGTTTGTTAAAATGTGCTTGATGAAGAAAAACTGTACTCACAGGGGGACCAGGTGGCCCTGGATAGCTGGGAACACCCACACCTCCCTACAAGGAAAGGGGGGGGGAAAGAGAGAATTTATAGTAATCCACAACTGGAAAAGGATTTTAAATAATTACCAAAGCAGATACCTGGATTTTATACAAACTGCTCATTCCGTTTCCTTCATTGAATGGCACACCCTTAGGAAAGAAATAAGATATGAAATTATTCTATTAAGTTGGGGATCAGCATCTCTATCTTTGCCTTTCCCCCTAAATGTTATTATTCCTATCTTACTTTAGAATGGGAGCTTAATACCATCAGCAAAATAATACAATGATTCCATTTTCAGCTCTTCAAAAGGAAATGTAGGAAAAGAATGAAAAGGCGTGTGAGCTACACCTGCTCAAAGGCACTTTCAGGAGGGGCTTGATTAATGTTCAAGCTTGACAGATGAGACACTAATGCATTCAGAGGAAAATATTATTTGCTCATTAAAATTCAGTTTCTGAATTGCCAATTTATGCTAACTGTTTACAGCCTGCTGACCTGCAGGCTATAATGCGTTGGTACTGATGAATGTGTGAATAGGGAACAATTTGGCTACTGGGAAGTAATTTTTCTCCCCCACAGTCTTTCCATACCAACCAGAAAATAAAAGGAAGTTGAGGGGATAAGGTTACTTACAATATGTGTGGATGTTTCTGCAAAAACATATTTTAGAACAATAGAGAACAGCAGCCTCTTAGGATACTGACACAGTGAAGCCTCAGAGAAACCCATAATTAGAATGAACTTTAGATTCTTAAAAAAAATTATACATACTAGCACTTAAAAATATGCATATGGAAATTTTAGTTTAAAAACCTCTTTCTTATTAAAGATTGTCAATGAACCACCAGTCCGATTGCATTTTTCTTTTTTGTGATTCTATACTTTAGTTGCAAACGTAATGAAACCGTGGCTTGGACATTTTAGTATACTTAGGATCTCAGTGAAAAGTATGCTGACATCTTCCAAACCCTAGTGATGGAAGGCAAATTGCTTCTTTCACTTATTCTTTTATCATCTCACTCATTCATTTAAGTGCCACAGGTCCTGGAGAGATGAAGGATACCCCTGAAATGTCCAGCATTTTTCATAGAAGATAATATTGAGCCCATTTTGGAGGATGAAAGGTTTTGAAGAATTTAAGTGGGACGAGGAGGATACCTTTTTTGGTAAGTCAATAATAAAAGCATCAATCCCTTTCAAGAGCTCATGTTTTATGCACTGTTTTGATTTGAGCCCTAAATGCAAACTGTCTTGCTTCCCTGTCAACCAGAGGAACAAATTCAGAAATGCAGAGGGCAAGTCTCTTTATTTATGTAAGTAAAGTGTGCGTTCACACTGAGACCAAGCACATACACACCCCCCCCCCCTTGTCTTCAGAAAGTCCCAATTAACTTCTGCCGCTTCTCTGGTAAGTTTGGCTTCCTAAACGAATCCAATGAGGGAGCTCTGCTGGCCTAGTGGTAAGTAAGTAGCTGGACTGCAATTCCGAAGCCACGCGGTTCGAATCTACCAGATGCCCCACGGGAGACAGATTCCCAATCTCCTCCTGTGCAATTTACTGCTTCTGAAAATTGCTAGAGGGTCAGTTATGGGTCGGTTCCGACTTGAGGGCAAATAACAGCCAAATATTCCAATGAGGTGGGGTGGAAAAGAATGTTCGGACTGGACCTAAGTTCTGCTGTGATTTGAGCATGGCCCCACATGAGGGCAGACTTGCTCCAGAGAGAAGCACCTCTCCGCTCCACAGTCTCCTTGACTAAATGCACATCTGTTTCAATCATGAGGATAAAAACATCAATAGCTCTTGTATATTTTGTTCACTTGGTGCTATATAAATAGAATTTCCTTGCATCTCAGACATCACTGATGGCACATATAACATAATACCAAATCTTCTACCAACTCTCGCAGCCAGAAGGGATCTATTTTACAGGCTCTCTTTGCTATGAATGTGGCTCATTGAGGTTAAATGGTTTCCCTGGGTCCCCAGGCAGGAAGTGAGAATCAGCCATACACTCAGCTCCCTCAAGTCCTTGGACAGAGAGGCCCACAGAATGCAAGTGTTATCTCTGTACACCCAGGCTGAGCCAAAGGGGAAGAACACAACCTTCCCAAATTTACAAATGTTATTGTTTATATTTGTATAAAAAGCGCTCAAAAGACTTTTCATCTTCCAGAACATCTAAATGTAGGCTAACCCCCTGGTTACAACATTCTAAAGTAAACACATGAATTTAAAATTTTAAACCTGAAACAACTCACAGGCGGGCCAGGTGGTCCAGGCTTCCCAGGGGGCCCCTCGTTGCCCTGCCAGGGATGCAGAGCAGAATAAATGGTTAGACATTTCTAGCACAGATTTATGAATCAGAATGTGCTTGTTCAGACAGCTATCCTCCGAAATCAATACACTGTGTCATCTCATTTCAGCCTTCACAATGAATTCAGAGTGGCTTTTCTCCTTCACCTGGGGAAATAAGTTTATAGACCACAGCAAAAGGAAGTGCCTCTTCCCAGCCCCATTTAGATACTTGTGTGAACCAGAGAGGGGAAACTTATTCCCTCTGGAACCCAGAAAATCCTGTGCTGGGCTTTAACGTGGCAACTCAAGGTGCCTCTCCGCATCTGCAGGTGCTGATCAGAATTCCTGCCAGCAGGTGGCAGCTCTGGGAGTGTGGCTTTCACAGTCAGCTCTGAGGACAATCTCCCTCCTACCGCCTTCTCCTCACCTTTTGGGAACGAGAAGGGCTACCAAATACACTCATACTCGAGTAAGGAATTGTAACCTGTATTGTGTCTGCAGGCAGAGAAACGGCTTCCATTTCTCAAGTTAATATCAGGCATTATAGCCAAGTTAGACATAACCTGGTGAACAAAAGTGACTGTTGATGCAATACTGTTTGAGAGAAAGTCTCTTTACAATTCAACAGCTTACAGAAAAATCTGTGAAAATGGATTAAATTTTTATTTTTACAAAACACAGAATGCTTGCTTACTAGCTCTTTGGTGCCTTACCCAGGTATTCCTATAGCTGTTTTTCTTTTAGAGTAAAATTTCTTGAGTTTCTCAATGACAGAGACAATAATAAGAAAGAGTCTAAAAAAAGAATTCAAAGAAAGTAAATTTTCTACACATAACACTAAAAAACTGAGAAATTTTGAGTCACTTCCATCAATTTGGTAAATTATTTCAACTCTTGTTACTTTCCAATAACTAACAAAAGCATTACAAAATTCTATTTTCATGCTTACCAATAAAAAGAAACTTAAATTTTCCTTGCTACATAACTGCCCAAGAGAATGTGATGTAGAAAGAGTAAATCTTTTCCCAAATGCTTTGATGGTGCCTGTGTCTCCAAGATATGTTATATACTGGGCAGTGCTGGCAGTGTCCTTTCTAGAATCAAGTCAGAGTTCTCACTAATCAACTAAAAAGGGAAAATATGTGACTATTGAAATGGCTCTCCCCTCCCCCTAGCACAATTAAAAGCCACATTTTTATCCTTGTTTGTGCCCCAAAGCTCATCACAGTGTGGAATTCCCATTAACTTCAAAGACGAAACTATGACTGAAATATTTCCATGGTGAACAGAGAACAAAGGCTGGTGGGGTGGACAAGCTCCTTGCAATACTGCCAGGAAAAAAACTGTGCTGAGACTATCTAGAATAACCACATTGTTTCCTTTTAGATTTGTCAGGATTCCTTTACTCCTTGATGTCACTGTGCCTTTTTTGGGTCAGGGGGCTTATCCTGGAGCGGAAGCCACTTGGTTGAGTTTGACGGCATCTTGATTTTTATTTCTTTCATATGAATAGTTACACTTGCTCTATTCATTTGCTGGCTCTGCCTGGACCTACACAATAAAGGCTAGTTTTGATGCTACACAGATAAGGGAAATATGAGCAGCTCTGTGGTTCTGTGATCTGAGATTCTCTACTGCTGGCCCACTTCTGACCCAAGAAACACATTTTACCAGTAACTGCACTTTCCAGGAATCAAGGTGCCCTGCTACCTCATGGATTTCTCTTATGATTCTCACTCTGGATGGAATTGTGTTCCCTAAAATGGGATGTCAGGAGGAGTTCAGGAGATGTACTGTACTGGGAAAGTCCACTGTCAGGAATCTCTCCAAATTACTGAAGAGCAACGATGTCAGTTAGAAGACACAGGGATGCCTGATTGAGTCCATGGTCTTTTCTATCACTTGCTACTCATCTAAGAGCTGGACAGCGAATAAGGATGACAGGAAAAGAATGGGTGCCTTTGAGTTGTGGTGTTGTTAATAGGGTCAGTATGCGCTTTACTTACTGACTTTATGGCACCTAACAACAACAACAGCAACAACAACAACAATACCACCATGATACAATGAAATGCTTAATCTTGGCTAGCATGTGAATCTGACTTTATGTCTTTTAAGGCTTTTCTATCAGTTAAAATGAGAGGTCCCATGGGACTAGAACAGGTCCTAATCAAATATGACTAGTCCCATGGGACTAGAACAGGTCCTAATCAAATATGACTAATCCAAATGTCAAGACTGAGAGCTACAGAGGGATGCCAAGTGATGGTAAAGTAAGGAATTGGAGGCACCCTGCCACAAATCAAAGGATATGTATGGCTATTACAACACAGAAGAAACAAGCAAGGATTCTCTGCTACAAGCTTCAGAGAACATAGATCTGAAATTGTCTAAATTTGACTTTCTAATCTCCAGATGAATGAGAAAAGAAATGTTTACTCTTTTAAGCCACAAAGTCCATGGTACTTTTTTTGTTGCAGCCACTGGAAACAAATACTAATCGCTAGGGACAAAATTTTTAGCTATTCTCACCATGTCTTTCAGTTAGTGGAAACGGTGGTGCTGATTGCTAGCACAATGTATGCAGCGCTATTAAATATAGACTTTTGCTATAGAGCACTGACAGTCTACTCATATTTTCCCTAAAGAGTTATCTCTTGGATCCAGACCAACTTTTAAACCAATGTTCTTCCAAGCTTATTATAAAAAAATAGTCATTCGCTGATATGACAGCAGGAACCTGTGGGTGGCATTAATAACGTGCTCCACTAATTACCGAGACACTGGAGGTTTCAGTCCACCTAGAGGTACTCAGAAAGGAAGTACTTGGAAAAATACAAAGCACTAGACAGAGAGATGTGGAAGAAAGGTCTGACAATCTCCTGAAAAATTAGCAATTGAAGACTCTCAGTAACTTAGTTCTACTCTGATACACTTGGGGCACCATGAGTTGAAGCTGACTTGATGCCAAGTGCTTTGTTTGAACAGCCTACCAGTTTTAAACTTCACTAGATCTTGAGAGTCTCTGTGTACATGGTCTCACCCAGACTCTACCCTATGTTCCACTTTGGGTGGGGCTTTTCCTTTGTACCTTGTCACCCTTTGGTCCCACAGGGCCAGGATGTCCAGTTCTTCCCAATAAGCCCTGTAAGACACAAAATGAAGTTTGTTACAGAAACAAGTAAATGCCAAAAGAGAAGTTATTTGCGAAAACTTACACATTTTGAAGGTCATTTGATCCTAATTAAATCAGTCCTAAAAGCTTGTATTTCTTCAGGCTGATACAGCAGCTGTATCCTGCTGATAAGCCCTTGGAAGGGTAAAATTTGTATTTGTGGTCGCTTTTTCACCTTGGCCAACCACACGTAATGACCTTAATTGGAGCCTTTTGATACATTTAAGAGTTTAGCCTTGCTGTTTAAATGGCAATTTACATAACATTATACCTTCCTAAATGAGCTATAATTTTGGTAGCGATCAACATTTTAAAAATACTTCAAGACACGGCAGAATTAACAATGTGCATATTGAGTTATGTGACCTGCATTGTACCAAAGGAGAAGAAAATGTAATTTTAATTCTTCTTTAGGAATAAAGTTTAATATCTTTCAGTGGTCCCTTTCACAACTTTTCCTCTTAATTTTCAGTTTTAGTAAACTGTTTTAAACCAAGTTTGTTCTATAATAACCACAGTGACAGAATAAATGGTATGGATTTAATTATGACAAGTCCTGAGGAAAAAAAACCCAACCAAAAGTCAACAAAATTTATAGCAGAGTAAGGTCATGCTCCTATTTGCGTGGTGAACACTCTATCTGCATAGGAATTCTAAGAGAGGAGGAGCTGGAAGTGAACCTTGAGTTGCGTTGCTGTATTCAGTAAATAAAAGTGCAATCTTTGTGACACATTTGTACTGAAAAAACCTCACTGATTATTAGAAACTCAGATGTTACTGGTTGAACAAGCCTAGATTTGGTTAAATTTGAATGGAAGGCTAGATTTTGCAGGAGGGAAAGGAAGGGACTTTGGTTTACAGTCCAAACAGAACAACCAAAGACACAAAGCCTGTGAGGACATGTTGAAGGGACGTGGGAAAAATGCTCTTACTAAAAGCAGAGTGTTGTTGTTTTTTATATGGAAATAGGAATAAAGGTAAATAGATCTTGATAATTCTTTCTTCCCCTTTTCACCCTCAGCTCCTGTTGTTGCATACCATTGAACCAGGACCCATAGCTGTCCCTCTAGCAGATTTTCAAAGGCAGTAAACTGCACGGGAGGAGGCTGCTAATTCTCTTGTGGAGCTGGTGGATTTGAACTAGGTGTCTAGGATTGTAGCACAGTTTCTTACCAGTAGGCCATCAGAGCTCCCTTAATTTATAGTGCCTAGGAATGTAAGGTCTTGAGTTGCAATACTTGAATGATCTTGCAAGTATTAAAAGAAGATGGAAAGAGTTTACAGAGTCATTATACCAAAAGGAATTGGCAGACACAGAAGAATTTAATGAAACAACATATGAACAAGAGCCTATGGTGAAGAAGCCTGCTTTGAGAGAATTGGCTAAGAATAAGGCGCCAGGAATTGATGGTATACCAACTGACATATTTCAACTAACAGATTCTGCCCTAGACCAACCACTTGGCCAACTGACTGGAAGAGATCTCTATTTGTTCCCATTCCAAAGAAAGGTGATCTCACAGAGTGTGGAAATTATTGAACAATATCATTAATATCACACGCAAGCAAGATTTTGCTGAGTATTATCCAAAAATGACTGGAACAGCACATCAACAGAGAACTACCAGAAGTGCAGGCTGGGTTTAGATGGGGCCATGGAACTAGGGATGCTGTAGATAATGTTAGATGGATCTCGGCTGAAAACAAGGAGTACGAGAAGACTGTCTATCTTTGTTTTATAGATTACACAAAGGCATTTGACTGTATCAATCATAACAAACTGTGGCTAACTGAGAAAAATGGGAATCCCAGAACACTTGATTATGCTAATGCGAAACCTATACTTGGACCAGGAGGCAGTCGTCAGAACAGAGCAAGGGAACATTGCATGGTTCCAAATTGGGAAGGATGTACGCCAGGGCTCTATCCTGTCTCCATACCTTTTTAATCTTTATGCAGAACAGGTTATCTGGGAGGCTGGACTCTGTGAGGAGAAATGTGGCATCAGGATTGGAGGAAGAATCATCAGCAATCTATGTTATGCAGATGACACAACCCTGCTTGCTGAAACTGAGGAGAACCTAAAACACTTGCTTCAGGGAACTTCAGGAACAGCAGTCTTCAGTATGGATTGAGACTCAATATCAAGAAAACAAAGATTCTCACCACTCGGCTGATTGGCAGCATCATAATGGATGGTGAAGAGATTGAGATTGTTCACAGTTTTGATTTGCTTGGCTCCACAGTCAACACTCTCAGCACCAGCAGCCAGGAAATGAAAAGACGTATTGCGATGGGAAAGTCTGTGGCTAGAGACCTCTCTAGAGTGCTGAAGTGCAAGGATGTCAGAATGGAGACTAAGCTGCGGTTGATAAATGCCATGGTCTTTGCAATCACTTGCTACGCATAAGAGAGCTGGACAATGACTCGGGATCATAGAAGGAGAATTGATGCCTTTAAGCTATGGCGTTGGAGAAGAGTATTGAATATACCACGGACTGCTAGGAAAACAAAGAGGTTTTTTCTGGAGAGGGTGAAACTGGGCTGCTCCTTGGAGGCAAGGATTCTGAGGTTTTGTCTGACACACTTTTGTCATGTTGCCAGGAGGGACCAGTTCTTGGAGAGGGATGTCATGCTTGGGAGGGTGGAGGGACAGCACAAGAGAGAAAGACAGTTGATGAGATGGATTGATTCAGTGACTGGGGTGATGGGGGGTGAGTGTGTCAGAGATGGTGAGATTGGCACAGTATAGGGCAGAGTTTAGGGCGGTTGTGCATAGGATCACTATGAGTTACAGGCAACTCGACAGCACATAACAAGAAGAAGAAGCAATGGAAGGGTGAAACCATCTGAACAGTTCTACCAAAGGCTAATATCAAAGGATTGTAATTAAAAATTAGAATGCTCTTTTATAACCAACTTTACTTTGAAATAGATTCGCTTAATCACAAATATTCTCTGGTCTGGTGGAATACTGATTCCTAGGACCCTATGGAGCCTTTAGTAATGCCAAAGGAAAATTAGAGACATTGGAGGAGACCTGTCTAGGCTATGTGATCTCCACAGAAGCATTGAGAACATAAGCCCATGAAAAACGTAACTTCATTATGATATGCCAGTAGATACGAGCTATTAATGGAACAAATTTCATAAATACTTACAGGGGGACCAGTCGGTCCTGGAACACCTGGAATGCCTGGAATTCCTTGAAGGCCCTAGAAGAGAGAGTTCCTAACCATAAATCCATTATACTACACAGTTGGGGATAAAATGTTTAAACTAATCAAATATTTTGACTTTTAAAAATTAAAATATATTTTGACTAATCAAGAAACATCACATAAATTATACACAAGCATTCATTTTACAAAGAATAAGAATGGTGCGATAAATTCCCATGATACAGAAATTATAACAAGTTCAATTTAATGTTTTTGTTTTGTCATAGGATTTTTCTGATCTTACTTGGATATCTCCTTAGTAGGAGAATGACTGATATTCCTGCACTGACAAAACATGAGAATATAAATTTCTGATTTGTAAAATACAACAAAAAGTATATTACTATACTAAAACAATAGTCTTCATTAAACTAGTGCGTAAATGCCATGTATTTTATAATATTTAGCTTAACTTGCTAGTTCTTTACAGGAAGAAATAGGACTATTGATGAATTTAAATTTGGAATCTTTTAATAGAAAAAACCAAGAATGAATGACTTTTCCTCTCTCTCCCTTCTTAGATTTGCAAGAATGTTTATTTTTTCACACAGGTTTTAAGAAATTTATATAATTTTCTATCAAGAATACATTGTCAAGATGAACTGATATCTCACATTATTTAATTTTGTTCTTTTGCCAGTAGGCGACCCACAAAAGGTAAGTTAAAAAAAAACACCACAAAAAATAATAATAGAAACTATTTTGCAATTACTAAAATAATGTTCTTTAAAAATACAGAAAAAAACCCATAGAGAATGGTTGAGATTTTTAAAATGCTATAAATGTACATTATGAAAGAAGAAAATTATAAAGATAATTGTAATAGCTTATCTGGAAACCTTAGTGTCAGACATGGTTAAAAGTTCTCTTTTCCAACTTGTCTTATAAAGGTACTAGAATGTACACACTGAATATAACTTAACACTTCCGGTGGTGCTGGAGGCAGTGTTCTCTAATAAACACAGAAATATTTCTGTAGCAAAATATATGATATTTTCAAAAAAGTAGAATAAGTAGGCCAGCTCTACAGATACACAATTTAGATTTTGCTGGGAAATTAATTTGCTGCAAATTTGAAAAAAATTCTCAGGTTTTTCAGAGGCTTTAGTGTTCATATTGTGGATGAAGGACTGGGGTTCATAATAGCACCAATACAACCAGCATTCCTCTCTGGGTCCTGGGAATGTGCTTTTGTGTACTTTTCAAATTTCCTCAAATCAGTTCAGATGAGTTCTGTTATATATGTTGTTGTTATGTGCCATCGAGTTGCCTGAGACCCATAGTCTCCCAACACTAAACCCCACCCTGTTCTGAGCCAGCCTCACTAATTCTGACACACCAACCCTCATTGCCTAAGTTATTGTATCAATCCATCTCATCTGGGGTCTTCCTCTCCTGCACTGTACCTCCATCTTTCCAAGCATGATTTCCTTCTCCAAGGACTAGTCTCTCCTGGCCATATGCCCTGAGATGGAGCTTCAAAATTCCAGCCTCCAAGGAAAAACTTAGTTTCACCCTCTTCAAGATAGACCTATTTGTTTTGTTGTTGGTCTATAGTATGTTCAAGGCTCTTCTCCAGCACCACAGCTCAAAGGCATCAGTTCGTCTTTGGTCATCCTTAGCCATTGTCCAGCTCTCTGATACATAGCATGTAATTGCAAAGACCATGTTATTTTTGATAATCATATAGCATATCAAATGCATGGCTTCAATTTTTTAGACTGTGCCTTCAGGATTGCAGCACAGCTTCTTGCCACTAGGCCACCAGAGCTCCCTCATTTTCTCTACTGAATAATTTCTCTATTGCCCTAATAAAGTGTTATAATACATTCCTTTATATTGTACTATGATGTAATGTGTTTTGGTTGTTGTGTACCAGTAGAGTTGGAACTGACCCATAGCCGACCCTCTGGCAGGTTTTCACAGGCAGTTAATCACAAAGGAGGAGAATGCCCATCCTTTTCCTGTGGAGCAGCTGGTGGCCTTGAACCATGTGCCTTCTGGACTGCAGAGCAGCTTCTTGCCACTAGGCCACCAGAACTCCTACCAATTTTAATATATATAAAACAAATGTTTGATGAAATGAACATGGTGCTATTTTGACAAATTTATTTAATGAGATGAATGAATGGGAATCATTGTATGAACCACAATGTAAATGAAGGATAGTGTGAAACACAGTAGATAGAAATTTTTGTATGCACATCAATATAAACATTTTTTAAAGAGTAAAATGGATGTGCTCTTCCTTCATGGTTGTGCCATTCTCATCTCTGTATGTCTGTGCACCAGTGTCTCTACATGTGATGTAAAGGGACTGTTCACATGAATATGTTGTACTGATGTTTTTTCTTCCCCCCAACATTAACTTGTTTATGGTTTTGTAAATGTAAAGGAAACAAATGTCCTTTGGGAATGATACCTCTAAGTGATATTGCTTTGCTGTTGTTGTTATGCACTGTAGGGCTTCCTACTTCTAAGTGGTGGGAAGTTATAAATACTATACCATTGTTGTTGTGTATCTTCACGTCAGAACTGACCCATCGCTGACCCTCCAGTGAGTTTCCCAAGGGAGTTAATAACACGGGAGGAGAGTACCTGTTTTCCTCCTGCAGGAAAGCTGGTGGATTCAAACTGTGGGCTTTCAGGATTGCATCACAGCTTCTTACCACTAGGCTGTCACAGCTCAAACGACTACAAACAGCTTTTTGTCAAGATAGTCACATTTCTATTAAATTCTCTGTGTACAAGTATTATGATATACATCATATTTCTTCTTGGCTGCTTTTAGTCCCAACACAGAACCAGTGTTGAGATGCGGAATGAGTCTTTAGGTTGTCTAATTTATAAGCTTGGGATTCATTAACCTTTCATGACCACATTAAACTTTAAAATAAACCTGAGTCCATAAATTAAAAAAAAAAATCATTATCAGCAGTCTTTTTCTGAACAAGCTGAAATTTTGTAGTGAGAGTAAAATGACTGTGGATGCATAAAGGGCAATAAGATAATTTTAAGAGACAAGATAGTCACTGAAGGAGACAAATACATATTAAAGAGCAGGACAGTCAATTTAGCACACAGCATCAAACTAAAGCACAAATGAAAATTTATTGCACAGATATCATGGGATCTTTACAGTCAAGGTTATTCTCTGCTTGGATATTCTGAGTTTGCTCAGTTACTACCAAGAATATTTATTTCTTCATTGTTAGAATTGATAGCTGACAATATTTATTTATATCTTATTTTATGAACCAATGTTCTGATTCTATACATGAAATAGGCATCCCAAGCAAGCATCTACTCCCTGAGTGGTGAACCTATGTTCTCATTCTGTACTATATGTTACTGTGACTTTTGTCATGACATCTGGGTAAAAAAGTGCAGAGCATACAGCCTGAAAAATTAATGTTACTTTTTCAGTGACAACTATACAAACTATAGACATAACAAGCACTGCTTCTAAGTAATTACAAGTCTACAAAAAGAGATAGGTGTCTATCCCTCTGCATTTTTGTTTACATCAAAAGTTCATAGAGATTTATGATTTTGTAAGACTAGTCAATCTATATGTGTGTGCATGTCAACATGTATATATGCACAGAATAGTTTCTCTTATTAGTTGGAGATGCACAATGCACATATTCTTGGTTAAGATTTTATTCAAATAGACAAATACACAAATTACAATTTCAGGTTGCATCTGAAAAGAAGACAATATTCTAATTTATGACTTCCTTTTAATTTCTGTATGCCTAAATCCTAAAGACCATTGGGTTGAATCTACAAGCTGCTCTGCCGAAGAAGGATGCATTATCTCCTCTCATGTGATGTATTGCCTCTGAAAATCCACTGGAGGGTAAGCTCAGATTTCCCATCATACAACAACACAAGACTAGTTTATAAGAGAGAAAATCTATACCACCCAAGCCCTCAACATCTAACTGAGTCAGTATGTGCCTCCAGGTTTGTTCATATTATTATGATGTGAAGAAACAAGTGGAAGATTCTGAGCATGTTGGTATTCTTTATGTAATAAGAGTCTCATGCGAAATATTTTATATACTATGTTAAAAAAAGGTCTCTAAATTGTACTTCAGAAACAGCCAAGCACACACAGAAGTTGTGGAGGAATCTTAACAATATGGTTTCAGTTCACCAAGAAAGCAAAGTACCCTGCAGAATTAATAAAAATTAACTTCTAATGAATTTAATTTAGTAATTTAGAAAACACCTGAATTCCAATTATTTCCTGGCTTTTTTGGTTATTACTTTCTAAATTATCTCAAGTTTACCTCTTGAATGTAGGCAGTTAAAAGCTGTTGGACTATTAAAACCAAGTATTGTGCTTGTAATTTAGTGAAATCTTCTTCGAAGTGTGAAGAACCAAAAGTTCAATTACTGCCTTTATTATCTTTTTTATAGATAAAAAGAAATATTTCTTTATTCTTCAATTTTTAACTCATTAAAGGAAAAAACCCAATCCTCCATGTTTTCTAGGTTAAAATCAATATTAATTAAAAACAATTACACATGATAATAATTTGTAATGTGAAATACAATCCTTACTAAAAGAAATAGATCTACTTTATATCATTATAATTTTCTGCACTAACATCAAGGTTAATATATGCCAGATGGCTTACTTACTTTCATTAAGAATTATTAGTATCAAAACTGTTTAAACTAACAACAATTCATCATTCTAATTGGTTTTTCTAAGCCATAATGTGAATTATGCAGGAAAAATTATATCCTGAACATCACCATGGCTTAGAGTCAGAAAATAGTGCCATTATTTATTTATTAAAAAAATCACATTTGACTCTGAAACCTGGTCCCGAGTGTGGGCAGCTGAACCAAACTAGTATAATCAGATTCTCTTGATAGCTTTTGGCCCTCAGGAATTTGGAAGTCTAGAAGAGGCATAGACAAACCAAGGTTGTTGGTATCGAATAATGTTATAGCAGAGTCTAAGGAAGCTTTGCTGAGTCCAATTGTTCAACTATTCTTCGATTTTATTTGCTAGGCTGGGAATCTTTGTTCTATCAATACATCTTTATTATTTAGAATGTACCAGTATTTGAAAAGACCTGCCCAACTCTTTATTTTCATATGTTCTTAGGAGCTCTGGTGGCTTAGTGACAAGGAGTTGCACTACCTACCCATAGGTATGCAGTTCATGTCCACCAGCTGCTCTAAGTGACATAGATGGACCATCTCTTCCCATGTAATTTACAGCCTCTGAAAACTCTCTGTGGGTAGGGGTCAGCTATAGGTTGGTTCTGACTGAACAGTACATAACAGTGATAACAATAATCAGAAATTAAAAATGGATGTTTTCTCTACTGAATCAAGTAATGAATTAAGAGTATGGTTATTTTATCACAGAAAGAAGAATCTTGTACCTCATCACCTTTGTCCCCAGGTATCCCAGGGTAGCCCCGCTCTCCTTTGCTTCCCTAAAAAGACAATAAATTTAGCTAACATGTGCAAGCAAGCATTTTGTTATTTGGAATAACGAAAAATCCTCACTTCGGACATTTGGGCCATGCACAAGACCAATGGATGTGAAAATGACAACACATCCTAATGGCCTTTGCATTAACTTCCAAAAACGGGTTGTTGTTTTTTCGTTTTTTTTAAAAACCCCAGTGTATTTTAAAATGATTATCCCTTTTCTCTCATATGGAATCAAGGGCCACTAGAAAGGAGGAGAGGGGAAGACTTCCTTACCTTTGGTCCTTCTCTGCCTGGGATTCCTGGAGGACCCCGTGATCCGGGATCACCCTGGAGAACACAGAAGCAGCATAATTAAACATTTCAGTATGTGAACATTGCAGTTTCTATAAACCTTCAGCAGTACTTATACTTTTTACCTTCTGGGCTGTGACACTGTACTTCCCAGGCTCACCAGTGACTCCTTCTTCTTTGATGTTTTTCAGCCCAGGAATACTGGGTTGGCAATTGCTACAGAAGTTCTAATGAAGATAACCATATGGTTATTGAGAGATTCATTACAAAAATCCCATGAAAACTATCATAACCCAACACAAATCCTTTAAGTATATGAGAAGGAAAAAAAATACCTATATTATTTCCTTCCTCCAGTTTTCCTTTTCAAAAAATTAAGATTTGATCATCTTGAGGTTCTGTCTGCCAGACAGAAGTGATATAGCAATTGTGTCATTCTACTTTCTAGAAACTTAGTTTACCCAGTTTTAAAATAATATTCCTTTTTTGTTCCTCAGAGGGAAACAGAAATCAAAGCACATTCTATTTGTTTATGATACCAATGATCAGCTATTTAACAAAAATGTTATGATGAGCCCTGCTGACATACTGTGTTAAGTATTACATTGCTAACAGAAAGGTTGGTGGGCTGAATTTACTAAGGAATAAGATGAGACGGTATCATATCTCTGGCAAAGACCTGTAGCCTCACAATAAGAGAGATGCAAATTAAAACCACAATGAGGTACCGTCTCATTCTGTGAAGAGTGGCAAAGTTTAACAGGGCAGCAAGTAATAGATGTTGGAGAGAATGTGGTGAGAAAGGAACTCTTACGCATTTTTCGTGTGATTGTAAAATGGTGCAACCATTGTGGAGGGCAGTTTGATGTTTCCTCAGAAAAGCTGTACATAGAAATTACATATGACCCAGCTATTCCACTACTTGGAATATACCCTGAGAATATGAGAATTGAAGCACAAACTGAGATTTGTACACCAATGTTCGTAGCAGCATTATTCACCGTTGCAAGAACACGGAAACAGCCCAAATGTCCAACCACAAATGAATGGATTGAGAAATTATGGTCCATTCACACAATGGAATACTATGCAGCACGCAGGAACAATCACTTTTTAAATTATTGCCTAACTAGGGGGGGACTGGAGGGCATTATGCTGAGTGAACTAACTCAGTCCCATAAGGATAAATATTTTATAAGATCCTTATTGTAGAATGAGTATAAGGATCCAGGAGGGGTGGGAGAGGCTGGAAGCAGAGGGATGTGGATGTGCAGGGAGAAGGGAGGATTAATGATTAGGTTGTACAATTTGATGGGTCAGGGGTGAGGGAAATGGAAAGAATTTGTTTGAATTTGTATCAGAATTTTTTAAATTAAAAAAAAAAAGATTTGTAGCCTCAGAAACCTGGTGGAGGGTCATTGTGAATTGGAACTGTCTTGACTACTGTGGGTTTTGGATAATATTTAGATTAGAAATTGTCAAGAAATAACAAAGGAAGAGAAGTTGAGGATGCAGGAAGTGATTCAGCTGTTTAGTAGCATAATGGAGGAGACAACAAAGTCTGGAATAACCAGCAACATTACAAAGCTCATATTGCTGATAGCATAAATCATAAGGAAGAAAGGAATGGAAAAAATAAAGGGAAAATAGAGAGAGGAAAGAAAATGGACTGTGAAGAGGGAGTTATCTTTTTAAGAGAAAAGTTAGTTGGAGACTAACACACAGTTTGCTAGCATTCTATTTGTCAGTGAAAGCATTCATGTGAGAAATAATTACTTGAGTGACTTGGACTTGACTCCTATGGCAAATCCAAATACTGATAGGAAATCTAAGTGGAATTACCTTTCTACTGCCTTCTCTGTAACCTTTAGCTGATCTGGAAAGGATTGAATTTAAGTGTCTGAGCTCACAAAGATAAACATAAGTCTTATCAATATAGCGAAAGAAGCATCATCATGAAAAGCCCTAAAAGGCGTATCTTTTAAGAAATTGTCAGGGTAAGAAAATGACTAGGAAAGGGATGAAATAAGGACCACAGGATGGTGGTGATCACTTAGTTTTAATAGTTCACGGATGATAAGACTAACATAAGACTTTATTTCCTTTACCTTGTTTTCACAAAGTAGAAAAAAAAGCATCTTCAAAAATAAATGCAATTAATGGGGGAGGAACAACTCAGAAAGAAGGGGAAGAATTGTTGTACAACTCGACGAATGTAATCATTGTGCCTAAATTTTACATATAAAAACCATTGAATTGGTGTGTTTTCCTGAATATATTCTCAAATCAACAAAATAAATGAAGTTTAGAGAAAAAAAAAAAGACCACAAACTGAGCATCCCCAACAGGGGCCTGAATCTTGCCCTCAAAGCACATAGTAAGAAAGCCCATGTCTTATCAAGTTCAAACTTTTGACCCAATGACTCTAAGCATAGGTCTGATTTGCAAAAATGTGATTTTTAATTTTTTGCATGATATTTAAAGGTTCTGAGGTCAATGCATACAAAATGCTGGACTAAATATTTGGTTTTTCTTTTGAGTGGACATTTCTCAGAGGCTGAGGATATAAAAGGGAGGGTGTGCAATGTTTCCTAAACAAATTATAAAATGCTATCCTCTGGATCTTTCATTTAGACTTATAATTAAAATCCAGGGAAGTAAGAGTAAGAAGTCAAGTGATGGATTGTACTGAGCAAGTCTCCTGAAAGAGACCTCTTTAACAGTGCTAAAAGGTGAAGTTGCTAAAATATGGCTAGCCCAAACTATAGTATTTTCAATCACCTCTTACACATGTGAAAGCTGGTTAATGAGTGAGGAAGCGCAAAGAAGAACTGGTAACTTTGAATTATGGAGTTGATGAAGATTATTGAACACGGTAGACTGCTAGAAGAATGGACAAATCTGTCTTGGAGGACAACCAGCATGCTCCCTAGAAACAAGGATGAGAGCTTTCATTTCATATTCTTTGGACATGTTACCAGGAGGGATCAATCTCTGGAAAAAATAAAAATCATGTTTTGCAAAGTAGAGGATCATCAAAGAGGAAGAAGTTCACCAGGACAGATTGATATGGTGGTCGCTACAATGGGCTCAAATGTACCGACACTTGTGACGATGGTACAAGACTGAGTGGTCAAGGTTTCATTCTGTTTCAGGTAGGACTGCTGTGATGCCCACTAAGCCCATGGCATGTAACAACAACAATTTAAAAAAGGAGGCTTTCTGGCTTAGTGGTTAAACACTCAGTTGCTAATTGGAAAGTTGATGATTTGAACACACTAGATACCTTATGAGAGAAAGATGTGGCTGGCTTCCATAAAGATTTAGAGCCTTGAATGTCCTATGGGGTAGTTCTACTCTGTCCTGTAGGATCATAACGAGGTGAAAAGACTCAAAAGTAATAGGTAATTTGTTGAAAAGTGGTATTAATATAACTGATAAAATCTGCAAACTCATGAAAATGAAAAGATGATTAAAGAGAAGTGACTAGGTCTCCACCTCCCACTTGTCTGTCAGTTTGCTGTACTGTGGTGGCTTGCATATTGTAATGATGCTGGGAGCTGTGCACCTGTTTTTGAAATGGCAGCAGGGTGCCCATGGTGGGCAGGTTTGAACAAACTTCTAGACTAAGACAAAAAAGCAGGACTGGCAATCAATGCTTGAAATAACAGGCCTTTGAAAACCTTATGGATAATAGAAGAACATTGTTGGATACAGTGATGAGTGGAATGCATGAGGGAAGCTGCCTCCTCAAAGCAGAATCTTCTATAAAGAAGTGGATAGAATAAAGCTTTCAACCAGTGAAAAGTCTTCATTTGTGTTTGTGGCAAGACTCAAAGTGAGGGGAAAGAGCTACCAATGTGTCTATTAATACATTGGAATGTAAGAAATCTGAATCTAGGAATTTGGAAGTAGTAAAAACTGAAAAGGAATGCATAAAGTTTGACATTCTAGGCCTTAGTGAGTTGAGTTGGACTGGTTTTAGCCATTCTGAATCAGACAATTACATGATCTAATATGCCAGAAAAACCAGATTGAAAAGGAATGATGTGGCTTTCATTGTCAAAAGAGTGTTTCAAGATCCATCCTGAAGTACAATGTTGTGAGAGTTAGGATACTATCTATACACATACATGATGAAGTTCTATCAATACAACTATTAATAAAATATATACACTAACTATAAAAGCCAAATATGAGAATTTCTACCACCTTTTGCAGTCTGTAATTGATTGAACATGTGCTCAAGATGCATTAATAATCATTGGTGACTGGAATGCAAAAGTTGAAAACAAAGACATACTGACAGTTGGAAAATACCGCCTTGGTGATAGTAATGAAGCCGAAGATCACATGATATAATTTTGTACAATGAATAATTTATACACTTCAAATACTTTTTAAAAACGTTGATGGCAACTATATACATGGACTTCACAGAAATCAGAGTTATACAGAAATCAGGTTGGTTACATCTGTGGAAAAAGACTTTGGAGAAACTAACTATCAGCAGTAAAAATCAGGCCAAGGGTGGACTGTGGAACATAACATCAAACAGGATGACTGACTATATGCAAGTTCATAACGAAATGAAGAAAATGAAAACAAGTCTACAATAACCAAAATAAGACCTTGAGTGTATCCCAGTTGAATTTAAAAACCAACTTAAGAATAGTTTTATGCATTGAACACTAGTGATGAGTTTCATAATGAAAGCAAGGACATCATCCATGAAGAAAGCCAAAAGGTCATTATAAAGACAGGGAAAAAGAAATGACCAAAATGATGTCAGAACAGATTCTGAAACTCACAGTAGAATAAAGAAAAGCAAAAGCAAGGGGAAATAATACTGAGGTAAAAGAGCTAACTAGAAGATTTCAAAGTACAATTAGAGAAGACAAAGTGTTTTAGTAAAATGTTCAAGGAGTTGGAATTAGAAAGCAAAAGGCGAAAAATACGCTCAGCATTTCTCAAAAAGAGAAAGTTAACAAATGAAAAAGAAAGGAATGAACAAATTCAAACCTTGTGTTGCAACACTGACAAATTCTACAAGAAAAATCTTAATACACTAAATCACTGTACCAAAAAGAAACATTTCAGGAAGTAGTATATGATCAAGAACCAATAGTATTGAAAGAAGAGCAAGCTGCAGTGAAGGCATTGTGGAAAAAAATAAAGTCCCAGGAATTGAATGAATACCAACTGAGGTGTTTTATGAAACAGATGCAAACCTGGACCTGCTCTCTAGTTTTTGTCAATAAATCTTTAAGACATTTATGTGGCCAACTGACTGGAAGAGATTCATATTAATTTCCATTTCCAAAAAAGGTGATCCAGCAGAATATGAAAAACATTGAACAGTATCACTAATACCACATGCAAGGAAAATCTTGCTGAAGATTATTAAAAAGGACTGAATGACTAGTAGAGTACATCAACAGGATACTTCCAGAAATTCAGACTGGCTTCAGAAGAGGTCATTGTATAAGGTATATCATTGCTGATGTCAGATGGATCTTGGCTTAAAGTACATAAGATCAGAAAATTATTTCTTTGTGTTTTATTAATTATGCAAAAACATTTAACATGTGTGAATGATAACAATTATCACTAACACTGAGAAGAATAGGAATCTTAGAACATTTAATTGTGATCACGTGAAACTTCGACTTTGATAAAGAAGCATTTGTCAGAACAAAACAAGAGAACACAAAAATGAAGAAAGGTGTGCAGAAGATTAGAGAAGAGTTGATGTCTTTGAGTTGTGGTGTTGGCAAGAGTATTGATGATACCATGGGTTGCCAGAAAAAGAGAAAAAATTCCATCTTGAAAGAAGTTCAGTCAGTACTTGGTGGCAAGGACTGCAAATATTTGTCTCACTTACTTGGGGCATATTCTTAGGAGAAACCAATCCTTGGAGAGATTCATCATGCTGGAAAAGGTGGGGGGTCAGAGAAAGAGAGGAAAATCCTCTACCAGATGTACTCACACAATGACTATCACAAGGGGCTTGAGTGGGACAGACAGAGTGAGAATGGTGCAGGAGAGGCCAACTCTCAGAGCTGTTGTTCACAGGTTCGCCATGGGTTGTAGGTGACTCAGTCATAAAAATGATAAATTAATGCATCAGTCAACACAGAAATATGGCCTTTCAATATGCAGCAAAACCTTGTAAGTGTCAATGTGCAGCAACATTTTAAAAAGTGATTATTCAATGGATTGGTTTAGTAACACAGGAACAAGTAATTAGGAGTTGTGTTTTCTGAAAATAATTTCAAACAACATCATTTCCCTTGTGTTAGAGTTATCATGATGCTAGATCAAAAGAAATTGATTTTTGAAAAAGATTCTTAAATTATATTATGAGACAATGTGAAACTGCATCAATTATTAGCACAATCTCATTCCAACAGGGATTAATTAATAGATTAACCTAGAAGAAGATCTTAAAAGCCATACTAATTACATCTGCAATTAGGTCAGTTCTTTTCAACACTTTAGTCGAAAATATTTTGGAACACGCCAAGCAGAAGAGTCAATTTTGCAAAAGATTCATGATGTGAGAAAGAGTTAATGTGCTGCATAACAGGATTAGAATTTAAAATTATGGGTTACAGTTAATCCCCAATCTATATTTCTGTGTTCATACTTAGTTTTAGGAAACTACACTTTACCCTTTCTCTGTTGCATATAGTTCCTCGGGAATTTTATCATTTATTTAGGATGTTTCACCTATCACTTTCCAACTGGCAATCCTGGAACTCATAATATTAATTGAGATGTTGCTGGTTTGTTTGTAACAATGGAAAAAAGACATAATATAAAGGGATGTTTGTCTGGGAAGACTGTCAATTACTTCCATTTTTGAGATTCCAGAAGCTTGGGTTCTCTGTCTGAGTCTATTTACAGTCTTTTTGTCTATTCTATGAGCCACCATGTATTATTTTAGGAAGTGAATTTCAGTTTAAGTGTGTATGATCCTTGAAGAATTTAACGACTGTGGAATAATCTAATTCTTAGAATCCTGCATGGCTGCTTTTGAAAAGAACCTGAAATTTAAAGTTTGAGGATTTATGTTCCAGTATTAATGCTACCCTTAACAGCTCTGTATTCTGAGCAAGTTTCTTAGGAATTCTGACATTCAAGATTCTCATCTGTAGAACAGGAATACTAAAGTAATAGTCTAAACTGTCAGAACTACTGCTAAGATTAAATGAAATGATTTAAATAAAACAAGATTTCATTATTTAATTTACACATAGTTTTAACTCAATAAATAGAATATTTCGTTCTTGAAACATCCATATTTTTTCTGACTAAAAAAAAATATTGACTTTAGAGATCTTTAAAACTCCTGAAGTTTGTATTCATATGCATACATCCAACATCAAAATTCTCACTATCTCAAAATACTGGAATTCATGAGTTTTTTAAGTTCAGTTTAAAAAAATATTCCTGCTTGCCTACTATTAAATAGATCACTGTGTGAAATATTTTGTAAAATTCTAGGACTATAAAAGAAATGATACATATATGTATAAATACACACACATATAATCTAACTGCATGTAAAAACATACGTGCTTACAAATGGACACTCATATGTAAGTTTAAAGAAAAACTATGTAAGTCTAAAGGGAGAACGATTTTGGTGGCCTAACCCACCAGGAGTTGTGCTTTCAACCCAAAGGTCACACGTTGGTACAATCCCCTGGAGACCTTGAAGGAGAAAGGTGGACAATCTCTTTTTGTGCATTTACCACCTTGGAAACTGATTGGAGAGTCCGTTATGAGTTCATTCCAGCTCAATGACAATGGATTGTTTTGGTTTTACTTATTTATTTCATAAATGGATAACTTCTCCTTTCTGGATTCACTCATGATGCTGATCTTAGCATACTATGCAAAACCAGCCAAGTATCAACACTCCTCGAGTTATGTTTCACAGATAAATTATAACAAATATTAGAGAAAAATCAATACTGGTAGCTAGAGATTAATTGCATAAAAGATAGATAATAGGGAGAGATTCCTTACTGAACAGGGTAACAGGCATCGGGGCAAGCATCAATTTTGGAATTTGATAGTCACATTGTAAAAGCCCATGATATCAAAACTCACTGGCAAATTAGCTATTTATTTCAAAGCATTTGTTTTTATCCTGGGACTGGCCAGGGAAGAAACAGAATGACCTGGTTTCATAATGGTCAGTCAAGGTAGGTAAATACCCATCCCAGAAAGCTGTTCTTCCATACAAGCAAGAATGATCTACTCAAGGGTGTCAATGACATTCATCTCAGAATTCTTTCTCTTTGCTCCTTACTCCCCCCTCCAGACCCACAAAAATGAAGAAGAAAGTGGGGGACTTTGTATAAACAGTGAAAGATACATATCCTTGTCTAACTTAAGGATGTTCTGCCATTTAACTATTAAATTATTGTTCAAATTAAGAAATTCACTTAATCTCTGGCAGGGATTTGCTTTCTGATTTTTTTCCTGAGAATGAATACACAATTTCTTAAATAGCAGTACAGTACCTTGAATAAGGCACCAATGTCTCCCAAGAGAGGAAGGGCAATCTGTAATTAAGAAGAAGATAAAAAGGCGAATACATACATTTTACATACACATCCATAAAAGCTAAATATACAATACAAAAATATACTGATTTTTTTTAATGCCATGGCGGTTGAGATTTTCCTGAGGCTGCTAGTCTCATTGTCAGAAGCCCTGATTTTATGATATTATGTTTCATATGGAGAAAAAAAACCCCAAGTCTCAGAAAATTCAGTTACTTTGAAGAAATATCTACCACTTCTCTACAATGAATACACAAATGCACATATCATTGTTTTTTTAATTTATTATTAATTTCAATGAAAATTTACAGAGACTTTGGATTTCCATTTATTCATTGTTGCAACATATCATTGTTTGAATTTAAAATCTCTATTTCATATTTTAATTACATGGTAACCTTCATGTTGTCCCAAGTGTATTAACAGTTTTAAATAATACATAAAAATAAATCATTTATTAAAAGAAAATCACTCCTCTGGCTAGCAAATAATCTGGCTGCTGAGAAATATGAACATACAGATGAATTTGTCTTAGTGTTACTTCTCACTGAAGCTCAGAAGAATCTATTCCTCACTGGCTGATGCCATGAGCAAGACAGACATTGAAGGAACTCAGGCACAGTTTGGGCTTCATGCCTTAAAATGCCCTTTCAGAAAGATAACCTGCAAGACATGCAGGTAATGTACACATGATTCTTCAGTGGTGGAATTAAAGTGAAGCCAAAATATGCCTCTGCATGTAGCTTACAAAAGCACATGAGGCCCAAACAGTGTGGGAGGTAAAAGGATTTGTGAGGTTTAGAACTGAGAGGCCAGATTTGGATTTTATTATACAAAACTCTTAATACAATGTCATGTACCATATGGCCTCTGAAATTATAACTGCTGATTCTGTGGCTATTAAAAGGGATCTCACTGTCGCTCAAAGCAAGGGTTTAACTTAAAATAAAATGTTGGGAATGTGCTTTTCGTGCTTATTTTTTTAAGAGCCTGCTCAGGCCAGGTTTAGTAATTTAATCATTCCAGCATTTTTAAGGCCACTAAATCAACGGCTCTGGACCATATTGCAGGTAACTTACTTGCAAACTTTCACTTAGAGAAATGGAATTAATTTAAGTCCCTAGCATTAGGAAAAGGGAAAATTCTGGCTATATATTTTAACTCCATTTTCTATGGGATTGAGACATTATATGCCAGGGCTCAGAATGAGGCCAACCTGTGCAACTGAATGATATCCTTAGGAAATAAGTATTCATCACAGAAAAAAAAAATTAAAATATATATATATACTGATATAGCTTGATTTCCCACCCCCTGTAGAAAATAATGGGGATAAACACACGAAGCAGTCCCTGAGCATTCTAATTAGTTTGGACAGCAAAACTTGCTTAGTAGGCAGTTTGGCTTCTGGGTGCATTAAAGATACATAAATCAGGCTCACTCTGTCTACGTACCGGGTCACCTGGGGGTCCTGGCAAGCCTGGCTTTCCGTCCCTTCCTGGAGCTCCCTATAAACAGAAGCATCACGTTCAAGTGTCTGCATGTTGGATAAGGATATAATAAAAGAAGTGGGTGGGGGAGTAAGTAAACAAAAACGGCCTTACGTCATTCCCTGGGGCTCCTGGAGTTCCTGGTAATCCAGGGAGACCTCGAGGACCCTGAAGTAGGACAAAGCTGGTTACTTAGGCAATTCTTCCCCCACATACACTAGCTGGATTCACTATGCCCAACAACTTAATTATTTACCTGAATGCCTGGCTCTCCAGCTGGTCCTTGGGAACCCTGAGTAAAAGGAGACAATAACTAGTAGAATCCCACCTTTAGGCCCAGAGAGGAAAGTCCGTAAATGACCCATGGAGATAAAAGATTACATAATGTAATAGACTTGGTAGAACAATTGAGTTAATTACCATACATACTCTGAACACTTGCTTAGAAATCTACAATGCCCCTAAGGTGATGGATAAGAACTCAACTCCATTCCTGTCGCTGTGATGATCCACAGGATTTTGCTCAGATACGTGGAATGTCCTCTCATTGCCATGCTTAGTGTCCACACATTCACAAGCACACACACAAACTACATACAGATTTCAACTCTTGAGACTGACTGTGCATGGTGGGCAACCAACTCCTTTCCTTTCATATTTCTACTTCTAGTCATTTCTCTGTTTGAAGAAATTGGCAGAACTAATGTAGTTACAGAAATAGAGAGGGAAACATCAGTTAGTTGTTGGTTTTTTTAAAAACCTTTTTAAAAAGTTGACATTTTACAACTAAAATGAGGCTGGAGATAATCAGAAAATAAGAATCTACTTATTCTTATTCTACTTAGTCTACTTAATCTACTATGTCAGGGACCTCTCCAGAGTGTTGAAGAGCAAGGATGCTAGTCTAGAGACTAAGGTGTGCCTAATTCAGGCCATGGTCTTCACAGTTATTTGCTATCCATCAGAGAGCTGGACAATGACCAATGATGACAGAAGTAGAATTGATGCCTTTGAGTTGTGTTGCTGGAGAAGAGTTTTGAACATACCATGGACTGCCAAGAGAACTAACAGGTCTGTCCTAGAGCAGGAAACCAAGAAACCAAGCCGCTTCATGGAGGCAAAGATTTTTGAGACTTTATCTCACATAATTTAGGCACGTAGCCCGGAGTAGCCAGTTTTTGGAGAAAGATATCATGCTTGGAAGGGTCAAGGGACAGCTCAGGAGAGGAAAACCCTTGATGAGATGAATTGACACAATAACTGGGGTATTGAGGGTAGGTGAGTTAAAAACAGTGAGACTGGCTTGGGAGAGTGCAGGGTTCAGGGCTACTGTGCATAGGGTTGCTATGAGTCACAAGTGACTCGATGGCACATAACAGCAAAAACAAGGATCTTAGTTCCATCCGTATTATAGAAGCATGGACATTGGCACACTTATCGCTTGGAGTTAAAAGTTAAAAAATAAGAAAGAAAAAGTTAGTAAACGTTTTTTAAATCAATACCCAGAAAATTTTTCTTTCTTATTTTTTATTTTAGAAACAGATATCTGTATTACTATTATTGTCACTGAGATTTTTACACCCCCTTAAAGAATTGATAGTGCTCTTGGAAAGAGTACAGACTCATTGTTCATAAGGGCTCTATGACATGAGTTAACTAGATATTGCTTAAAAACAACAATCAATTTTCTGTTTGTTTCATTGCTGCCCTAATGATTCCTGATCTACCTTTTTTTCCTTTTGTTTAAGTTCCTATCACCAATGGCTTTGTATATTCTTACCCTAGAAAAATCAAACACTAATCAAGAGGCAGTCATCAGAACAGAGCAAGGAAACACTGTATGATTCAAAATTTGAAAAGGTGTACGCCAGGGCTGTGTCCTATCTCCATACCTTTTCAACCTGTATGCAGAGCAGATTACCCAAGAGGTTGGGCTCTGTGAGGAGAAGTGTGGCATCAGGATTGGTGGAAGATATACTAACAATCTACGTTATGCAGATGACACAACCCTGCTTGCTGAAACTGAGGAGGACCTGAAGCACCTGCTGCAGAGGGTCAAGGACTGTAGTCTTCAGTATGGATTGAGGCTCAATATCAAGAGGACAAAGATTCTCACCACTGGACCAATTGGCAGCATCAAGATGGATGGTGAAGAGATTGAGATTGTTAACAACTTTAGTCGGCTTGGCTCCACAGTCAACACTCTTGGCACCAGTAGCCAGATAATCAAATAACATATTGTGTTGGGAAGTCTGCTGTTAGGGACCTCTCCAGGGTACTGAAGAGCCATGGTGTCACTCTGGAGACTAAGGTGCGTCTGATACAGGCCATGGTCTTTGCAATCACTTGTTATGCATTAGAGAGTTGGACAATGACTAGGAAGGATAGAAGGAGAATTGATGCCTTCGAGCTCTGGTGCTGGACAAGAGTATTGAATGTACCATGGACTGCCAAGAAAACAAATAGATTCATCCTGGAGAGGGTTAAACCAGGCTGTTCCTTGGAGGCAAGGATTCTGGGGCTTCATCTGACATACTTTGGACATGTTGTAAGAAGGGACAGGTCCTTGGAGAGGGAAATTATGCTTGGGAGGGTGGAGGGATGGCACAAGAGGGGAAGACACTCTATGAGGTGGATTGATTCAGTGACTGGGGTAATTGGGATGGGTGTGTGTCAGAGGTAGTGCAATTGGCACAGGGCAGAGGAGAGTTTAGGGCAGTTGTACATAGGGTCGCTATGAGTCGCAAGCAACTCGATGGTATATAACAACAACAACAAGAACAATCATGCACAATATAATCATTGGTTAGTCGTGTCCATTTTTTAAAACAATATCTTCCAAAATAATTTTATTATATGTCTAATTTACCAAAATAATGTCAATAGAGTATTTGGTTTCACTGGTCTTGTTATAAAATCTTGCATTTTTTTAAATAGCAAATAACAAACAATCTCTTACTATTATTTAGTCAAGGAACCTTGGTGGTGTAATGGTCATGTGTTGGTCTTCTTTTTTTTTTTTTTTTTTTACAAGCCAGCAAGGAAAAGTTTATTAAAGCAAAGAGCAAGCTGTGAGGGTGCTAAGAGGTTTTCAGGCTTCACTTTTAGTGAAGATTGAGCATATAATTCTGGCAAAAAGATAGTTAAAGGCAAAAAAGAGAGAAAGACACTCTGGAGGAGAACAGCAGTTCATGCACAAAGACAGGTAAAGGCAGGAAAAAGAACAAGCTCTCCATTGTATGGTGAATGGTAAAGACTCTCTCAAGTCCTCAGGTTTTCTTATAGAAGCGTGAAATGTGTTGGTCTTCTAACTGAAAAGTTAATAGTTTTAATCCACCAGTTGCTTCAAGAGTTAAAGATGACATAGTTTTTTCCACTTTATGATTTACAATGTCAGAAACTAATGGAAATTCACAGAGAGTTGCTATGAGTCAGAATGAATTCCACAGAAGCAGGTTGGTTATTTAGTCAATAAACATAGTGGTCATTATTATCAGGCACTGTTCTGTTGTCTGTTTTTAGAGTGAAAATACATATAAAAACTGCTTATTATTTGTCTAGGTCATTAAAAATACTTTCTCATTCTACTTCTTTAAAAGATTATTTAGGACATTTTACATCATCTTATTCACTCATTTCCTATAATTCAAGTATTAACTTTCTTTAATTAAAAACATATTGAGATGCATAATCACCTAATAATAGTCTTTCTTATAAACATATTATTATATTTAAAAAATCTACAACATAGATAGACATGGGTTACATAATTGCTGTTGTTGTTGTATACTATCAAATTGGAACCAACCCGTGGCTGACCCTCTGGAGAGTTTTCAGAGGCAGTTAATTGCATGGGAGGAGATTGCCCATACTTCCTCCACAGAGCAGCTGTTGGCCTCAAACCATAGGCCTTCAGAATTGCAGTGGCAGTTTCTTGCCTCTAGGCCACCTGTTGTTGTTATGTGCCGTCGAGTCGCTTGAGGTCACCTGAGCTCCCTTAAATAATTACTACTAACCCAAAATGTATGTGTGTGTGTGTGTGTGTGTGTGTGAGAGAGAGAGAGAGAGAGAGAGAGAAGGTTAAGTCAAGTACCCTTTCTGTGGTTAGTGATATTAACTGTAATGCCCATTGTTCTATCCCTTTGACTAGGGTTTATCTGCATTTTTTTCCTCTAATTTTTTCTGATTCTATTCACAAGTTTTGGAGTTCTTTCGGTTTTGTTTTATATTACTGGAGTCAACAAAGTTTTCAAAAACTCATTTGGATTTCACTTACTATTCGTCCAGGAATTCCTACCCCTGGTGGGCCAATGTCACCAGGAGAACCATGAAGGCCTGGCAGTCCTCTTTCACCCTGTTCAATAAGATGCATCTGTCACTGCAAATAATTTTATTTTGTTAGTTAATTAATTTTTTAAAAAAATTATCTGAATATTTTTATACCTTTGGTCCACGTGGACCAGGCATTCCAGGACTTCCATCTAATCCCTAAAAGACAAAAAGAAAAGAAATATGGGTTTTGTTTTGTTTTTTTTTTCTGAAAGCTTAACACCATCTCAGATAGCTTAACACCAAAATGTCTCATTGCGCTTCATATTATTTGGCAAAACCTTTTTCACTATAGGAATAAGAAATGGAGAATAAAAATCTCATTGTATTTAAAAAAGGTAGATTATTGTAATTACTGTTATTGTAGGATTATGTAGGTAGTAACAGTTGCCTCTGTTGCCTTTTGCAGTTACTTTAAAATATATGTAATATATTTTAAAGTATATATACTTTATATATACCTTACTATATAAATATACTTATCTTTAAAATGAGGCATTCGATATGAAGAATTATTTACCAGTATTAATTAGTTTAAATGCTCAAATTACATGAGAGGGAAAAAAAAGATCTGAAATAGGACCACTGACTCCGGATTCTGCAGGGTTCTTGTTTTTATGATCTGGAAATAGTCTGAGCCAAAAAGAGACATTTTCTATGACCATACCTGGAAGGGAAATTTCATTCTGGTGGTTCTGCTGCTTTAATATAGTGTATAGAATATATAATATATGGAAGTTCTGTTCTGAAATAATTATGCATAATTGGGATTCAAAGATACTTAAGGAATTCATGGATTGGATTTACAGGGGTGTTTTTACATCAGTTTGACAGCAACCAGTTTACTTTTTTCTTCATTTGTGAATTTTCTGGAGTCCTTGGGTGGGATACATGGTGAACACACTGGGCTACTAATAGGTTTTAAGGTTTGAGTCTACCCAGAGACACCTCAGAAGAAAGGACTGATGAACTGCTTTAAGAATCTCTGCTGCTGTAAACCTATGGAGCAGAAGATACACAGTGCCACCCATGGGGTCACCAGGAGCCCAAACAGACATGATGGCAGCTAGCTGGTTCCATAAGTCTCCAAAATGGCTTATAAAATGGTAAATGTATTCACATTTTTTTTATTGTCCTTTTGCTTCAAATTTTCAAAGAAATTATATCTCTGACAAATAAGAAGTGTACTGTTTTTCTTTTGCTGATTTAAAGTTATTTCTATACTTGTGATCTAAACCTGGAAACTCAGTGATAATGAACTTTTGAAGGGAAAAGGACAGATACTTACTGGATCCCCTGGCAGACTTTTCCCTGGGGGGCCAGCTTCACCTTTTGGACCTGGAAGTCCAGGAGGGCCTGTAATCCCGCCTGGATGTCCCTGATAAGGCAAAGGTAAATTTTCATTTATTACTGAGGTTCATTGTGGGAGGGGGAGACAAGGAGACAAAGGAAAATTGTTTCCATTGTTTTAAAGTGTCATCATAGCCTGTCAACTTCATGCTGTCATTCATTCAGCAAATATTTAATGAGCACCTAATTCAGGCCATTGGTGTTCAGTGCCTTAAATCTATTCTTGAAATGATTTCTTTTTAAAAGAGAAAGCGTAAAAAGCTTTATTAAGGAGGCACCTCTCTTGAGATGATTCTTAAAGATGATTTCTGGTGGGATAGACTCAAGGCTGTATTTTGGTTCTCATGGGATTGTTTTAATCTTCTTCAGCCTCAGTTTGAACTTGTACAATGGTCTGTTGCACAATCAGCACCTGGCCTGGGTTTGACTGCTTATACTGAGCTTCCCCAACTATTTTTTCTACAGATGTAGTCAATCTGATTTCTGTGCAGTCCATTAAGTGAGGTCTATGTGTGTAGTTGTCATTTTTGTATCTTAAAAAATGGTTATTTGTTATGAATAAACCACTGAATGTACAAATTAAATCACCCAGTCTCCTGCCTCATTTCTGTCACTAAGTCCATGTTTTCCAACTACAACTTCCTCTTTATTGTTTCCAACTTTTGCATTCCAGTCACAGATTATTATTAGTGTAGATAAATTGTGGAATATCAAATTATCAAGGATATCATCAATGAAAAAAAGCAAAACTCATTACGAAGGCAGAGGAGGTAGAAAAAAGCCAAAATGGATGTTGAGAGAGACTCTAAAAATTGCACAGGAACATTGAAAAGTGGAGCAAAGAGAAGAAATGCAGAAGTAAAAGAGATGAAAGAAGATTTCAAAGAACAGCATGAGAAGACATAACAAAACTATTAAAATGGTACACACAAAGACCTGGAGTCAGAGAATAAGAAGGGAAGAGCTCACTAGCCTTTACTCAAGCTGAGAGGACAGAAAAACAAGTCCAAGCTTTGAGCTGCAATACTGAGAGATGTTATGGGCAAAATCTTGAATGACCTGGGAAGCACCAAAAGAAGGTGAAAGGAACACACAGAGACACTGAATAAAAGAGGCTATGTCAACACTGCAATATTTCAGGAAGTCACACATGATCAAGAAGCAACAATATTGAATGACATGTTCAAGTTGCACTGAAGACATTGGCAAAAGTAAGGCTGCATGAATCGATGGGATAGCAATTGACATGCTTCAGCTAACAGACATTACCCTGGACATGCTCACCAGTCTGTGCCAAAAAATTTGGAAGACAACTATTTAGCCAACTGATTCATTTGTTCTCATTCCCAAGAAAAGTGATACAACGCAATGTGGAAATTATTGAACAATATCATTAGTATCACATGCAAACAATACATTGCTGAAGATCATCCCCAAATGGCTAGAACAGTATATTGGGAGAGAACTTCGTTTGAGACATTCAAGCTGGGTTTAGAAGACACTGTGGCAGAGATGTCACTGCTGATGTCAGTTAGACCTTGGCAAAATGTAGAGAACACCAGAACAATGCCTACTTGTGTTTTATTGACCATGAAAAGGCATTTGATGGTATGGACTATGATAAACTAATGGTCTAGTGGCAAGAAGCTGCACTGCAATCCCAAAGGCAAGTGTTTAAAACCCATCAACTGCTCCTTGGAAGAAGGGTGGGTAGTCTTCTCCTGTGCAATTAACTGCCTCTGAAAATATGCTGGAGGGTCAGTTATGGGTCAATTCCAACTCTGTGGTACACAATAACAACAATCTTGAGACTAATGGAAATCCAAGAACATTTAATCATGCTCATATTGAACCTATACCCAGACAAAAAAGCTGTTGTCTGAACAGAGCAGAGCAACAATGCATTGTTTAAAATCAAGAAAGTGTGTGTCAGGGATGTACCCTTTATACCTATTCAATTTGTATGCTGAACAAATACTTTGAGAGGATGAACTCTATGAAGAAAAATTTGGCATCAGGATAGAAGGAAGACTGATCAACAACTTGTTTTCTGCAGATGACATAACCTTGCTTGCTGAAAGTGAGAAGGACTGGAAATGCTGCAGGAGATCAAAGACTACAGCCTTCAAAATGGATTGCATCTCGAAATCAAAGAAAAAAACCAACATCTTTACACAGAGCTAATAGGCAACATCCTGAGAGATAGAGAAAAGATTGAAATTGACAACAATTGTATCTTACTTTGATCCACAATCAACAACCTTGGCATTAGCAGCCAAGAAATGAAAAGACAAATTGAACTGGGAGAGTCTCTTGTCAGAGATCTCTCCAAAGAGCTGCGGAGCAATGATGTCACTTTGAAGACTAAAGTGCATCTGATTCAAGGCATGGTCTTTTCAATCACTTCCTATGCGTGTGAGAGCTGGGCAATGAGAGGATGATGTTGTTATGTGCCATCAGGTTGCCTGGAACCCGTAGCGACCTTATATACAGCAATCCTGAACCGTTCCCTAGCCTGAGCCAGCCACATTAATTCTGACACACCAACCCTCATCACCCCAATTACTGTATCCATCCCCCTCAGCTGGGGTCTTCCTCTCCTGCACTGTCCCTCCACCCTTCCAAGCATGCTGTTCTTCCCCAAGGACTGGTCTCTCCTGGCCATGTGCCCAAAGTATGTGAAACGGAGGTTCAAAATCCTAGCCTCCAAGGAGAAATTTGGCTTCATCTTCTCCACGACAGACCTATTTGTTTTCTTGGCAGTCCATGGTATGTTCAAGACTCGATGCCTTTGAGTAGCGGTGTTGGAGAAGAGTACTGAATATTCCATGGTCTGCCAAAAAAAAAAACCCCAAATAGATAGGTCAGGTACAGTCAGAGGGCTCTTTAGATGCAAGGATGGTGATACTTTATCATACATCCTTTGGGGATTCTGTCAGAAGTGGGTATTCCTTGGGAAGGGCATCATACTAGAAAAGGTGGAGGGTGAGTGAAAGACTCTCAATGAGATGGATTGACATAGTGACTGCAAGTGTGTTGGAGACGATGAGGATGGTGCAGGACAGGGCAGGGTTCAGATATGTTGTTCACAGGGTTGCTCTGAGATGTACTTGTGTCAATGGCACATAACAACAATAACTAATAAATAAATCTATGTTTAAATTTTTTCATTGTCATTTTTGTTAGGTGCAAAGGAGTCGAGTACAACTTATCAGGATCTGATGAACGAACAACAGATCTGAATCTTGTCCTATCCTGTGCCATCCTCACCATCTATCATATACCTGATCCCATGCAGACATCAGGAAATAGGCCTTGAAAAATGTCATGGAATAGACTTCCTGATTCCTTAGGTCTTCATCTTTAAGTTAGTTCATTTTTTCACATTTGCTTCTAAGATAGAACCAAAGTTATTATGATGCATACATCTTATGTGAATGTTTATCCCTTCCACATCCTCACTAGCCTTGTTCTATAATTTTGCTCTTCCAATATATGTTCAATCCTTTACTTCCTTTCTACCTACTTAATGCACAAAAGGAATAAGTGAAATTCATACTTTTTCTCCTTTAATGCCTGGTTTCCCTGGAATACCATGTTCTCCTGGCAACCCCTAGAAAATGTAGAAGTAAAAAGAAAGTATAATTAGAACATCTCTCCTGATAATATCATTGCTTATCAGGAAAATAAAATTTTAACACGTAAACTATGAGGGGTTGATGTCAGCCTGTTCAATTAGGAATAAACTCTCATGCAAAAATATGGCTTGTTGTATCAAATAAAGTAACCTAAATGCAATGAGAGAGAATTGAATCAAATGTACTCTCCCTCTTATTTGCAAGAATGAGTGGAGAAATAATTGCATCGAATAGTTCAGATGGATAACTAGGAATTTTTGTTTATTTTAATTTGGTAACAACAGTTCACTCTCTTTTTGTTGTATTCTCTTTATAGTTTAAGTCATTATTTCTTCAAACTCACTTTTTAAATAATTTCATTTAGATAATTTTGTGGCTCCAGCCATGTTGTCAACATTTTCTTTCTTTGCAAGATCTCTCCACTGAGTATAGGTTTTGACATGTTGCTATGTATTCAAATCAAATCTGATAATAGCTGACCCTCCAGTGGGTTTTCAGAGGCAGTAAATTGCACAGGGAGGGATTTCCCATACTTCTCCCATGGAGCAGCTGGTGGTTTGGCATATACCTTTGGTGTGGTAGCACACCTCTTTAACACTAGGCCACCAAAGCTCCACCAAGTACAACATGTCTATAATAATTCATTATGATGTTCAGGATCAAGAAAAATCTTTGGTCTATGAACTGAACATCCAAAGTACCAAGACAACCAAGTACAATGATGGATAGCCTTCCTTCAGCCTCAATCTGAAAGCAGGGATAAGACAGTGGTGGTTACATGGCTGCTCCCAAGATAATGAAACTTGGAGATATTCTAAAAATTATCTAGGAGAACTCTGAAGGACCAAGGAGGTCAGTTTCCAAAAAGTCACAATTACATATTTTTCCCCCAGGGTTTTTCCCTCTCCCAAATGTGGACAGATGGTCAGGTCTCATTCTCTAAACTGTTAGGTGGTTCATCAAGGGCTAAAAGCTTACTCAGGGGAATTAATGGGACAAAAGTTTTCTGAGCTTTATCTTTGGGCAAATGGTACTCTTTTGGGGGTTTTTTTGGTTGATTTTTCTGAGAATGCCTTCCTGGTATTGTTTACCACATAGGCCTGTCTACAGTTCCACTGAAAGTTGAGTCATGGAGGTGAATTTTGTTTCAGGTTCTAAGGGTAACTAAGGGTCACACTCTCATGGTTTCAGATTTAACCGTTTTCATGGTACAGATGACTCATGTCTTTGGAAAATGAAGACTAACTCAATAACAAGACTAGATGCTGACATTCTTTTAAACATGCCTCAATAGCAATTTAAAAATATTAAAGATATTATTATTATTATCTACTAAATTATTAAATATTGCTATCTACTATACATACAATATCTCCTGGTGGCCCTCTGGGCCCCATTGAGCCTGCAGGTCCTTGCAGACCCTAAAAAAAAAGAAGGTGATATGCGCTTTAGTTTGTAAAAATATATGTTGTTGTTGTTATGTTGTTATGTGCCATCGAGTCGCCTGCGACTCATAG